AAAACTATTCTTTCCACAATGTACCTTGAACAATATTCTAATATCCTACACCAGTTTCGCTTAATCAATATTTAATCATCTTATAAACTAATCCAACTCACACTTTTTTTAAGTATATTTAATCTTTCTACCCACTACCAACCGTCTCTATTTTATCATTTTTTGTACCAGTCTCTATTCATCCCCTCTTTTCCAACATTTTACGTATTCGTTTTTTTATAAATAAACCAATAAAGTATTTCTCAATAATAAGACTCTTCAAAGTCCAAGCAAAAATTTTACTCTGGTAAATAAATTTTACCAAGTTTGATTATGTAACAACATAAGCTTGAGATTAGTTCTCGTTAATTTTTGCGACCTAACACATGTTTAACACAGGGATTTCTAAAAGAACACTAATACTAGTTTCTCAAAATCCAAATTCTACATCTCCCGAGAAAAGCAAAGGACAATGTTCTGCTCCAAGAGACGATCTGACAATTCCAATTCCCGAGAAAGTCATAAAATTACTACTACTAATTAACTCTTAATCAATCAAACAAATCGACGATTTGATTATGGAATTCGCCTATTAGCCAAAGCAGAGAGATTTAAAAACAACCGGATTTAGAAAATTGAAGAGGAATAAATAACCTGAATCTCTAGAGCTTTCGCTGGTTTCCTCCTTGACCGTGATCGGAGAATTTTTCGAACCCAACCCGAGAAAATCTCTCTCCATCTATATTAAACCGAAGAGAAAAACCACACAACGTTACAATATAATTCGATCTCAAATCTCTCGTCGATTAAACGCGTGTTAAACGCCGAAATCAAGCTAATATAGCTTCGCCGGAAAAAGGGAAATAAACAGAGACTTTTGAGGAGAAAATGAAAAAACGTGGAATGAAGTTAATTCACCGAAATTTCTAGTTTTATTAACAAATCGCATGCCACATGTGAATAGTGCCATTAATTTTACTTCAGTTTTGTAATAATTAAACAACAAAAAAGATTCTTTTTTCTCATATCCTATTGGCGCAAAAACCAGCTACAGGTTGTCCCGGTTACGTCACCGGATATAGGCAGTCAAGAAGGCACGTGCATCGTCGTGCAGTCTGTGGCGTTTCTTTTCTTGGTGAGACACGTGTCGAGGCACGTGCGCTATTTTAACGTGAATGATTCACGAGATGCGAAGCGGCAGTTTTAATTAATTTTAATTTATTATTTATTCAATGACAACCACTTTCTTTTGTCGGCTGACGCGCTAACTGGAGCGCGTGAGTATTAAACCTTTTTTTGTCTCACCGCTCGATCTAAAATTAGTTACTACTTTCGTGCACGTTCTATCTCTTGACCAAGATAAACATTTGCACGTTGCATTTTTTGGCACAATATATTACTAATTTGTATTTTAGTACTGTATTTTAAATCTTCGATTAACCCGATGGTACTACAGTAATTGTAAATATTAGAATTTCAAATCCAACTTTCATAAAATGATTTAAATACAAACAAATAATTGTTGCGGAAATTTAGATCCACAACTCAACATTATTAATCTAAATCCCCATGTGATTATGTCATTACTCTAATATAAAATCTAATTTTAATAAAGAATTGTTAATTTATGTTTTCTGCGATAAATTAATAAAGAATGTTGCTTAAACTATACTTGTATTAAGATAATTATTGGTACCAAAAGAAAATGTTTTTTAATGTAGAGATTACTAAAATCACTCGTTGACATCGTTTTTGTGTATTTATAGATGCATGTGGTCGAGGGGAGGAAATTACGCCATTTCGTGCGTTATTTTCTTATTAGTTTAGTAAAACTATACTATACTAATGTTTTAAAACATATCTAATTATCTCACAATTTAATAATAAAGTTTTGAATTGTTTTATAAAAAGGATTATTTAAATTAAATACAAAAAAAGTTTATTTAAAATGGAAAGCAGTCAATCACAACAACTTGACGATCTTTTTTTCCTATCAGCAAAAAAAAAAAATTTGACGATCGTCTCCCACGATAATAATAACATCGTTAGTCTGGGAGATAAGTAGCACACGTCGTCATTTTCTCCAGCCTATAATTTAGATATTAATATAACATTATTAAGAAAATACTACACTGCGGTTAATTAATTAATATACACAACATTCCATATAGATAATAGATCAGATCAAAAGTGGACCTACAAAGCGAAGATTTTATCAAAAGATGCCATAAACGTATCTTTCACGCTATGATCCACATAAACCATCCGAAATTTATTTCTTGTTTTCTGTTTTCACATCATGTAATTCTGGTTTTAGTATCAAAAAACTAAAATATTACTATGACTACGACAACATTTTATTTCTTTTATGGCATAGACATACAAAACTAATAACAAAAGATTTAATCACGAGTCTTGCACAAAAAAAAGAGATTAAACCACGAGTTTGGCTCAACAACGAAAACTTTTCTCCAACCAAAACCAAACCTAACTCGACTCTAAACCACACTCAACAGCAACGTCTGTTTATAACAACACTTTTAAATATTTGTATCAAAATCGAATGAGAACAAAAGACTCCGATATCAAAAAGGATATGATAACAGAATCAATAGTACTGGCAAAGAGAAAATCAAGGGAGATATGTATATGCATGATATATAGCAGCATCTAACTAGATTTTGATTGACTTGAGTAATTGCAATATTTGGCTATTTTTAGTTTGGTGCTTCAATGGATCCTTTGATGGCTCATCCTGGTTCTCGTCGAGCCAGATCCAGAGAAGAGCCTTCAATATTTAGTTTGCTAGTTGGAGGCTCTTCCTCCTTAATGTTATATTTCTCACATATTATTACTTATATGCTAGCTTTTTTTTTAATATATATATATATATATATATATATATAAACTTATATGCTAGTTATTGTGGACATCCAGAAGCAATTAGTCATTCGTATGTGGGCTCTTGACATCGTATGCCGACTTGTTTGCCTAATTTCGGCCCTTGTTTACGGCTGTTTCACCGTTTACTTCTCCGCAATAGCTTATGCTGATGTCCGTATAAAGCCGAGAAGATTCATGGGCCAAAATGGATCTCCACGCCTTGGAATTTCACAGAAGCTAGAGAGAGCTGTGGTGGAGAAGAACAAGGAGAGTACAGGGAAAGACGAAGAAGAAGTTTGTCCAATCTGTCTCGAAGATGTCACCATAGGTTTTGGATATGTTAGGATAAGAGATTGCATGCACAAATTCCACCGTAATTACATTGATAAATGGCTTTTGAAGAGTGCACGTTTGTCCTACATGCATGTCGTGCTTTTGCAAAATTATAAACAATTACAAGGTAATTAGTTTCTCTATTGAAGATATATTGCAAGGTAAAAGAAAACTAATTTTATAGTCGGGATGAGAAACCTAGTTATTGTGTAAATTAGAAGGAAACAAAATCTTTGAAATTTTTTTAAAAATTTTATTTCGAGAAAAGTTGCAGGAAAACATAATTTAAAAAAAAAAAAAAATGTGGAAGTTTTTTTTTTTTTTGTAGGGGAAGCAAGAGATCGTGGGTGGTGGTGAGGGGGAGAGGGGTGATGGGGAAAAGTCAATTTTGATTTTAATAGTAAATTAGTGTAAAAAAAGAAAAAAATGAAAGTACATAATTTAAGACTTAAAACACGTGGTTAAAGGATAAGAGTATAGTTATTAGAGAAGTGACTTGTGATTTATTAAATAAGGATTACCTTTGCCTTCGATTATCTATATAGAGATGCTAATCTTGTTTTAGACTTTTTATTTCATCCATCTATTTGAGTTTTCATATGATGGAATTGAGCTAAAAATATATACTGTATATATTTTTTCCGAGTTCTGACAATTCAATTTCACAGCGATGGAAGTCTTTGAGTAATGAGAAAAAACACTATGTTGATCTAAGTCACATGCAAGTAGTAGAATACTAGAATAAACTCATGATGCATACCATTAATTAGGCCCTTACATCGTAATTTATTTTGTCACACAAAAATTTGGATTCAAACTGAACGAAAATTGAATAGCAAAAAAAAAAAAAATCTGAATTTGATATAGTTTTCATAAAATAATTATAAAACGCTCAAAAGTGAAAAAGGTAGTAATGTTATTAACTGAGATATAAATGTTATAATTTTTTTAACGTGAACAATTCATTAATATTTAGCTAAAAAAAATTACTGTAAACATAAAAATAATCACAAAAAGTTGAATTAACAAAATAAAATAAAAAAAAAGCAAAACAAAAAAGCCTCAAAAAAACATCTTATAAATCGTAACTTGAAAAAATGCTATTAGATTATTAATAGACTCTAAACATGATACGATCATGAAGAAGAGAACGATGAAAAGATGCATTTTTTTCCCTCTTGAAGATGTAATTTGCATAAAAGAAAAGATAAGTTTCTAGGCTTATCAGAATGTAGTATGTACAAAACATATGTAACCAATCCGATGCATTAGATGAGACAACAATATCAAAATGTCGAGAATGAAAGGGAGTGTTTTGCCAGACTACCTCGATTCGAACTAGCGGATCTGAAAAAAGAAGTAGACCGAACTCATCTTGAACCATCTTTGTGACTTGCGAGATCGTTTTGCCTGACTCTTCTCCTTTGACATGTCCACTACTGTAATGCGAAAAAAACTCAGCTCTAAATAAATATATGAAAGCCCGACTAATATGGGCCCAAAATGATATAAGGGATGGCCCAAATCTAATAGTCATAATAAATTTGTATGGCAGAAGCCAATGACAATGAGGATTTTTGTAAATTGCCATGGACCGCATAAAGTTGGATGCATGCACCTGTTAAAGGCAACTTTTGGGATTCACATAAGCCAGAGCGCACACATCTTGTAGGTATAGATCAGCAGCACTTAAACTAATTGTTTCCATTTATTTGAGAATGAGTTTGTTTTGTTAAGAAATATGATTGAATAAAATTAATTTTAGTTTAAAAAATTGTAATCAAAAAGTCAAAATATAGTCTTAACCAAGAATTGACTGTTTTCCATTTCAAGTAATTAAATTAGTAAGCACGGAATCTAGCTAGGCTTCCCACAACAACAGTTACCTTCTTCATCTTCTTCCTCTTCCTCGTCGCTTCCTCAAAATCCTCGAAAACTCTGAAGATCTTCCAGAGAGTCACAGCGAGTGAGAGAGAAAGCTATTTGTTCTCGTGAAGTCCAAGTGTGGAAATTGACAACTGGATTTATGGTTGGATTTGGTGTGTAGTGTGTTGTAGCGATTAGGTTTTGAATCAGCGAAAATTGAAAAATGGTATTCAAGAACAAGCTCTTCTTCTCTTCGAAGAAATCTGGATCTTCTAGTCCCGATAGCTCTAATAGTCCCAGATCTGTTGGCTCCAACTCTCCCATACGATCAGATAAGAAGAAGTCTAAATCCGCTTCCAAGGATGAACCTCAGATCCCTAATCCTGGGGTTGGTTGCAAGCAGACGCAGATTAAAGATGGTTTGAAGAAGAAGGATGGTTCATCTAAGGGTAAACAACTTTCATCTGAAGTTCAAGCTCACTCTATCGGAAAATCGAACTTGTCTCCTAGTTCTGAGGCGAAGAAACCACCGCCGCCGGAGGTGAAGGAAGGACCTGCGTTTGTGTCTCCAATCATGGCTTCGTCTCTGGGTTTGAACCGGATTAAGACGAGATCCGGACCGTTGCCACAGGAAAGGGTTTTCAATTATAGGAATGATCCGGCTACGAGCAATTTGTCGAAGATGGGTGCTGATGGTGGTGACTTGGGCTCGGATTCAGCCACTACTGGCTCTGGTAGTGGCAATAGAAAGAAAGAAGCTGGGAGTAGCAAGCTAGGGTTAGAAGAGAACATGGGTCGCACTCGACCAAGTGACAATAAGAGTGATCGTGATAGTTTGTCTCCTGATGCTGGACCACCGCGGAGCCTCAGCCCTACTTTGCCGGCATCAGGATCTCGATTGCAGAATGTAGCATCCTCATCGGGAACTGGTATGTCCTTAGATACTAATAACGTCTTGAAATGGTTGGTTAGGGAAACCAATGTTTTTGTCTCAATCCTTTTCGTTGCTTAGATGTTAAATGGAAATTATGAGAGAAATACGCATTGGCAGCTTGCTGTACTGGTATTTGCTATAAACTTGTTCCTTGTTCTGCCTGTTATGAGTATGTTAGCCTGTAAGATATCAGAGGCTTGCTTTAATAATCTTCATCTGTGTGTTAATACGTGGAACTTAATCACTGGGTAAATGCATCTTATACTGTAATGTATCCAGATCATTTGTGCCACCTGTTAGATTTTCAGTTCAAATTTCTCTGTTGGTACTTTGCAGGTCGCTCTGAGATGTCATCTGGTCGCTCTGGCCCTCTAAGAAATTCAGACTTTTGCACCCCAGAGGTAACCCATTATTCTCCATCACATATCTTTTTATTGTTTAGTGATATATGTATTAGTTTTAGCTTTTATATGGCCTTGGTGACTTGACTTAATCTTTCTAGAATTCATATGAATGGGAAAATCCCAAAGAGTCAGAATCACCACGTTATCAAGCCTTACTTCGTATGACCAGTGCTCCACGAAAGAGGTTTCCTGGTGACATCAAAAGTTTTTCTCATGAGTTGAACTCAAAAGGGGTACGACCCTTTCCATTATGGAAGCCTCGTAGGTCGAACAATGTGGAGGTATTCTAAAGTCCCCTATCTCTATTATCCCCTTGTGATCTTTTTTGAATGCAGAATCTAATCATCTGTCTTTTCCAGGAAATATTGGTTCTGATTCGAGCAAAATTTGATAAAGCAAAGGAAGAAGTAAACTCTGACCTTGCAGTATTTGCAGCGGACCTGGTGGGAGTTCTTGAGAAAAATGCAGAAAGCCATCCTGAGTGGGAGGAAACATTTGAAGACTTACTAATTTTGGCTCGAAGTTGTGCTATGACTACTCCTGGAGATTTCTGGCTTCAGTGTGAAGGCATTGTTCAGGACTTAGATGATAGACGTCAAGAGCTTCCTCCGGGCGTCCTCAAGCAGCTTCATACTCGGATGCTTTTTATCCTTACCAGATGTACTAGATTACTTCAGTTTCATAAGGAAAGCTGGGGGGAGGAGGAACAAGTTGTACAACTACGGCAGTCAAGAGTCTTGCATTCTATAGAGAAAATACCTCCTACTGGAGCGGGAAGGAGTTCCAGTGCTGCAAAGGTCTTAAAGGTACCATCTACCAAGAAAGCTTATAGTCAGGAGCAGAGTGGTTTGGACTGGAAGGAAGACGCGGTTTTACGCTCAGTTCCCCCTCTCTCTCCAACTGAAAATTATGCTCTTAAGGAATCTGAATCTCCTGCAAACATTGATAGAATGTCTTCCTGGAAAAAACTTCCATCTCCAGCACTGAAAACTGTGAAAGAAGCGCCAGCGTCAGATGAGCAGAATGATATCAAAGTTGAACCTCCAAATATGGTTGGGAATCGACAAGCTAGCGATGATGCGGCTGTTGCTATTCTCAACTATCCTCCAGCAAAAGATTCTCATGAACACTCCAAGCATCGGCACAATATTTCTTGGGGTTACTGGGGAGAACAACCCCTTATTTCAGAGGAAAGTTCAATAATGTGCCGTATCTGTGAGGAGGAAGTTCCCACAACACATGTGGAAGATCACTCTAGGGTTTGTACATTGGCTGATAAATATGACCAGAAAGGACTGAGTGTTGATGAGCGGTTGATGGCAGTTGCTGGAACACTTGACAAGATAGCAGAGACCTTCAGACATAAGGATAGCCTAGCAGCCGCAGAAAGCCCAGATGGTATGAAAGTATCCAATTCACATTTGACTGAAGAATCTGATGTTCTCTCTCCAAGGTTGAGTGATTGGTCGCGAAGAGGGTCAGAAGACATGCTTGACTGTTTCACGGAGGCTGATAATTCAATTTTTATGGATGATCTGAGAGGTTTACCGTTAATGTCATGTAGAACCCGTTTTGGTCCCAAGTCTGATCAAGGTATGACAACTTCATCTGCCAGTAGCATGACTCCTAGATCCCCGATTCCGACCCCTAGGCCTGATCCAATTGAACATATATTAGGAGGCAAAGGTACATTCCACGATCAAGATGATATTCCACAGGTTTGTGATGGTTGTGTGCTCCATGTTCATAAGTTTTCTTGTCTCTTGTTATTGAATACCCTCTGATGAAGAAACCCTTGAAAACCGATAACGCAGATGAGTGAACTTGCTGACATTGCAAAATGTGCAGCAGATGCCATTCCGGGTGATGATCAGTCCATTCCATTCTTACTTTCTTGTCTTGAAGATCTGAGGGTAGTTATAGACCGCAGAAAGTTTGATGCACTTACAGTAGAAACTTTTGGGACTCGCATAGAAAAATTGATCCGGTGAGACGTTTTATGGCTTTCCAGAAATATTCTTTTGTAAGTGGAATTATAAATTAATCACATAAGAATGTGTTTTAAGTAAAATTTTCCTGATTATGCAGGGAGAAATATTTGCATATGTGTGAGCTTATGGATGATGAAAAAGTTGATCTACTAAGCACTGTAATTGAGGAAGATGCTCCCCTAGAAGATGATGTTGTTCGGAGCTTGAGGACCAGCCCGGTACATCCGCGAGACCGCACATCCATTGATGATTTTGAGATCATAAAACCAATTAGCCGGGGAGCTTTTGGGCGAGTTTTTCTAGCGAAGAAGAGGACAACAGGAGATCTATTTGCAATCAAGGTAAACAGTGCTTTTGTTCTCTTTTCGGTTCGTTTCTCTTCTTACAAAAGATTCTTCTTTTTGTAGTTAGGCTAACGTGGTATGCAAAATCTTTAGTTAGTGTTTTCTCTAATATTGTGTTTAATGTCGGCCTTGCTCCTCAGGTTCTGAAAAAGGCAGATATGATTCGTAAGAATGCTGTTGAAAGTATACTTGCTGAACGTGATATATTGATCAACGTTCGCAATCCCTTTGTGGTGAGCAGGTCTAGCCTTTTAAGCATATTCTCAGAAGATTTTTACTTTTTTAACATGACTTTGTTTTGACCAGGTTCGTTTCTTCTATTCTTTCACGTGTCGTGACAACCTGTATCTGGTGATGGAGTATCTGAATGGAGGGGACCTGTATTCGTTGTTGAGAAATTTAGGTTGCTTAGAGGAAGATATTGTCCGTATATATATTGCTGAAGTTGTAAGTTCCACATGTTTATTTCATTAACAGTTTATTCCACAGAGCTCTATAAAGTGATTTCATGATGAATATCTATACCAGGTCCTTGCTTTGGAATATTTGCATTCTGAGGGTGTTGTTCACCGTGATTTGAAGCCGGATAATTTGTTGATTGCGCATGATGGTCATATAAAGGTATATTTTTCCATTGTAAGAATTATTCTGTCTTGATATTTGAGGCTTATGAGATGTAGCCTTTCCACGTATGAGAGACTTTTAATTTAAGACCTATGGTTTCTTTCTTTTATCTGAGCAGTTAACAGATTTCGGGCTCTCTAAAGTTGGTCTCATCAACAGCACGGATGATCTGGCTGGTCCTGCTGTAAGTGGGACGTCTCTGCTTGATGAGGAGGATTCACGATTAGCGGCATCTGAGGAACAACTTGAAAGGCGCAAGAAACGGTCTGCTGTGGGTACTCCTGATTACTTAGCGCCAGAAATTCTTTTAGGGACAGGACATGGTGCGTACCCATGTCTAATCTTGGTGGATGCTTGTCTTTTATTCAAGATTGTTTGTTTAGTAGAATTATTGGTACTCAGCTGGGATTGGTAATTTGAGTAGAAAAATAAGCTACTACAAATTCATTTATACTCTACGAATTTGGTGTAAGTAGAAGGGTTATATGCTAAGTACTCTGGACCACTGACTTTCATAATATTTTCTTGCTCTAGGCTTGTCGGGAAATAGTTTCAGATAATTCCGTTTCGTTTATCACATGCCAAGACTACAAAATATAATTTATACTTGCATTATCATTCAGGTGCAACTGCGGATTGGTGGTCTGTTGGCATCATTCTGTTTGAACTCATTGTGGGAATTCCACCCTTCAATGCGGAACATCCTCAGGTCAGGACTAATCATTGCTTTGTTTCTTGTTTATGCTTTGATAGAGGAGCATATGTTTTCTCAAAATCTGAGGAACTATAATTCATACTTGGGCTGGTCTTCAAATGTCATGTTTTTTTTTTTTTTTTTTTTGGTATTGGCTTCCCAAGTTTTATAAACTTTTATTTGAAATCAGTACATATGTTGCTATAGAGAGCACTGTGCGTCTCCTTTCAGTTTCCAACATTTGATGCGCATTTTCTTTGGTTGTTCTAGCAAATATTTGACAATATTCTCAACCGTAAGATACCATGGCCTCATGTTCCAGAAGAAATGAGTGCTGAAGCTCATGATATTATAGACCGGTAAGAGATATTCTACGTTACTCTCCATATACAATATCGAGTCTTAACTCCATAGAGAAAAACACAGGTTATTGTCTGTTACATCATGTTGTCTTCTTTTTCTAGATTTTTAACAGAAGATCCACATCAGAGACTTGGAGCTAGAGGGGCAGCTGAGGTAAAAATGGATGGCTTTTCCTGTGATTAATAGTTCCAACAAGTTGTAAACTGTTAATGACATTAATTTCATGGCTCAGGTCAAGCAGCACATCTTCTTTAAAGACATCAACTGGGACACACTAGCAAGGCAAAAGGTGCATTTATTTATCTTAATTCGTTTGGAAAAATAAGCTTTGCTACTTGGTACCTTCTTAAAGCTTGACACTAGTATTCTTTAGGCTGCATTTGTTCCGGCTTCAGAGAGTGCAATTGACACAAGTTACTTCAGAAGTCGCTACTCGTGGAACACATCAGATGAGCAATTTTTCCCGAGCGGTGAGGTTCAAGATTATATTGATGCTGGTAGCTCGACTGGCAGCAGTGGTTGCTCGAGCAATCATCATGAAGAAGGGGAGGTAACATCTGTTAATCCACTCTTTGCATGTTACCTGGTTAGAATTAGCCAGAAAACTCTTTATCTTTAATGTTCGTTGGATGTGCAATTTCCTTGAACGGGATCAATGTTGCTACGCAGGCTGAAGAATGTGAAGGACATGCAGAGTTTGAGTCTGGCGTACCTGTAGATTACTCTTTCAGTAATTTCTCGTTCAAGGTAATAACTCATGACTGACCTGTTAAGATCAAATGTTGTCCAGGTGTAAAATTGGTTGGTGGTTTATATAGTTGTTGATATTCTGATATTCAAATTCATTTTTGGATTGAAATCTTTGTAAAGTTTGTGGCAACAGATATAATTTAGCAGAAGTTATGTTAGCTTGGAAGATCTAGAAGCATGGATGTGTATTAGGCTGTAGGTAGATGTCAGATCCACATGTAGGAACTATAGGGACTGATTGATAGTTATTTGAACTTGTGGGTTCTGCCTCCAGACAACTCGAAAACTGGCGTGTCTTTGTTGTGCCTAGGGATTTTAAGTGAGCTTGTATCATTGTGAGTGGGTGAGTGAGTATTAAGACCACAATGCTTAGCATTCTGAGTTTATCTCTTTTTGGTTTTGCAGAACCTCTCTCAGTTGGCGTCTATCAACTACGATCTTCTATCCAAAGGCTGGAAAGATGAGCCACAACAAATTCCGCATCACAAGTAACATCCATTTCGTGGATGTTTTTCTCGATTCCTTTGGTGCTCTGTGAGTCAGTGTAATGAGTACTCTGCCATTACCGGCGTTGTTTGTATACTCTGTAAATGTAAGTCGTTCTTTTCTGTTAATCACAAAATCAATTTAGTAAGCTCCATTTGCAGTGACAACGTGTTGTATCTGCAGAGACAGGAAGAGGAAAAAAAAAAAAAAGAGGAGATAGCGGACATTGAAACACTATGGAGACGCAGCCACAAATGTGGTATCGTTACTTTTCTCATATTTCTATAATCACTAGGACATGAGAGTGGTGAGGTAGCGTTTGCGTTTCGAGTAAGCAGCGGCAGCAATCGGTCTATGTAAAGTTAAGAGAGCTCACAACCTACTTAACCTTTAATGAGTTCAAATACCATTTAAACCTCTCAAGAATTTTAGATTGATTTAATTCTTCAACTAATTTAGTTACAAATTTGCACCCAACTTTTTCGTGGACACGTTTGGGCGTTTAGCGAACAAAGATCTTACAAGAAATAATCCAAAACATACCAACACGACCATATATACAATTGGATCCAGCCGTATTATCGTGTGACCTGTGAACTAATATATCCACTTATACAACTAGCTGTCACGCGGCTCACGCCATTGGATTGCAAGAAGCAGACGTGAATGTATGAATGAATATAAAGACATCACCACCTGTTTTGTATTATTACAAGTTCCATGTCCGTTAGTCTGTGTATTAATATGAATTTAAACTATACTTTTTTCTTTTTGTGCAAATGAATGAATTTAAACTATACTTTTTTCTTTTTTTTCGTCTAAAAGATTTCATTGATAGAATGCGATTGAGTTATACAAAGCCGACAAAGATCGAAATCCTTTCGGAGACAAAGCCGGCGGGTACATAGAAACCCCCAGAAACTTAAGGCCAAAAGAGGCGGACAAACATAACAAGCCTAAGAACATAAGATACAAATATAACTACTAAAGGAATAACAACTAAAGCCTCCAAAGCAACAACACTGAAAACTCTTCCCTACAAGCAGTCAACACAACCATCTCCACGGCAGAAACGAAGACGACGAGGCAAGAAGAACAGAACACAGAACCAAACTATACTATCTTCTTTATTTGTCTGCATACTACTATTAGTATTATCAAAGAGACAAAAAGCTGAAACAATATTGAAAATAAAGTTAAAAGTTAAAAGCACTAATAATTACAACCACAACGAACTCCTCATCATCAGTGCCCACACAAGAAAAAAAAAAGAAAAGAAAAAAAAACACCAAAATTAAAAACATCTAACTGACCCTAACTCAAATTCCCGCCATATTCTTAAACTAAACACTTAATCATCAAACACCGAAAACGCCGTCGTTTCATATCATCGACCGAACCCATGAACAAAGTCTCCTTTCATCTGATGGTTCTTACCCCACCCAATCTGAACCCGATTGACGCAACTCCTGGATCCTCCTCACCACCTCCACCATAACTGGACGCTTGTCTGGGTGCTGCTCTGTACAGTCAATGCCCAGCTGCAGCATTTCCGCCATCTCTTCTTCCACCGAGACCACTGTCTCGATACTCATCAGCTCCGAGTCAAAAACCTCATTCCTCCACTCCTCTCTCGGCACTGAATGCACCCACCTCGCCAAATCCATTCCTTCCTCGTTCATCACCGAGTTAGACGGTGCTTTTCCGGTGAGAAGCTCCAGCAATACCACACCAAAGCTGTACACGTCCGCTTTCTGTGAGACACGCCTTGGGTCAGTTACTTCTGGCGCACGGTACCCAGTGGCCCGGTTTGGGGTAGTGGATGAGGCGCTTACAAGCTGAGCCAGGCCAAAATCAGACACTCGTGCGTCATGGGAGTTTGTTAAAAGGATATTGGAGGACTTGACGTTTCCGTGAGAGCTCAGTGGGTCTTGTGAGTGAAGATAGTCTAAGCCACGAGCAGCTCCAAGGGCGATGCCTGATCTGACTTCCCAGTTCAATGGAGGCCGGCCTGCGCCTTTGTTTCCTGTAACATAGCATGACATTAAGGTCAACACACAAAAAAACTATTGTCTGAAACTAGAACACAGGAAATCTGGAGGTTTCATTGTTCAAAACACAATTCTAGAAGATCAATTATCACTGTCCCTGCCAGTCAAGGAATCCAAGGTTTACCTACTGTCCCTACTAATTCACAGACGTCCTGTGTAAGCCTTGTGAAAGTCAAGTATATGATATAAATTCTTCACTGAATCATGTCAATAAATCTAATCCATATGAATGTGATGCAGTACCAAACTAATCATTTCATGATAGAAAACTTTGTCATTTCTGTCTTAACAGTAATGTAAATGAACAAATTGATTACTAATTATACCGCCAAAAAGCCAAACTTAAGATTCAGCAGAGAACTATTGATAAGAAAAATCAAACTTTTAGCAGAGAAAGAGTTCTCACCGTGTAAAAGAGCTGACAAGCTTCCCATAGGCATGAAGTCATAGACAAGCAGCTTCTCGTCTCCACTGTAATAGTACGCTCTCAAGGGTACCAAGTTCTCATGGTCCATCGCCCCAACAACCTCAATCTTCTCCTTGAACTCTCTGTCAGCCATCGTCACATCCTTCAGTCTCTTCACAGCCACCAATGTGACCGCATCAAGCACCGCTTTGTAAGCTGTCCCGAACGTTCCTTTCCCCAGAACCTCCGCCGAAGCTCTCAACAGATCCTCAAGATCAAAAACCTTTGTCGCATTCCCAAAAAACACTAATTTCTTCATCCCTGAACTGTTCACTTCCACCACTTTCATCGCAGCTGGGGAGTACTCATTTCCGTAGCTCCTATTCTCCTGTGCTTCCACGGCCGCTTTCTCGCCAGGAATTTCAACTTCATGCTGCTTGATGGTTGCAATGTCGATGCCCCTTGTTCTCTCGTTCCCCTTTTTCCTAAAGAGAACCATCAAAATCATAACAATCAGGGACAAACCAACCACACATCCAATCACTATTCCAGCTATTGCTCCACCAGAAAGCTTCTTCTTTTTCTTCTCCCCTTTACTTCCTTCAAGAGTTCCGGGAATATTTCCAACAGAAATTGGCTGGCTTGGCACAGTTCCTTCATTAGAGCAGACAACAAGCGGTTTGCCACAGAGTGAAGTTCCCACAAACGAATCAGAATCAAATTTCTGCAGACTCTTAGGTATAGATCCGTTCAACAAGTTATTAGAAACGTTGAACTGATCCAAAGGCAAATCCATATCAAGAAGAGAGCCAGAGAGCTTGTTATTCTCCAAGTACAGAGTCTTAAGCCTAGTAAGGTTTTTAAACCCTGACGAGATCTCGCCGGTAAATTCATTCTCCGCTAGATTCAACCTAACAAGGTTACTAAGACTAAACAAAACCTCCGGAATCTCACCGGAGAATCTGTTACCTTGCAGGTACAAACGCCGAAGATCAGAGCAGCTTCCGAGATCCAAAGGAAGAGTACCAGTAAGACCATTGAGACGGAGGCTAAGCGTACGTAGCTGAGTTAAATTACCGAAAATACCCTCCGGTATATGACCGGAGAGCTTTTCGCCGGGAAGACGAAGAGCGGTAACACGACCACCATCGCATACGACGCCAGTCCAGTTGCATGGTGAGGTTTGTTTGACGTCCCAGAGTAATGTACGACCACCGACGGAGGAACGAAGCGAGAGAAGAGCGGACTTGTCGGCGGCGAGATCTCCGATTGAAGGAAGAGGAAGAGAGAGGAGAAAAATCGAGAGGAATACGAAGAGGTTCTCCATTGTAAGAAACGAAGAGAGAGTGAAAGAGAAAGAGAAACCCTAGAAAAAAAGCTCTCAGTGAAGAAGCTCTGTGTGTGGTTTACAGAGAAGAGAGTGAAGCTAGTCAACACTTAGCACTCTCTTTCTCTTTTTCTCCACTTTTTTTTTTTTTTCGAGTTTAGAATATTTTTTAAATTAAAATCTTTTTTTTGTAAATGTGACAAAAACGACATTTCTATACAACAGTGACGTCTGTCTTTCTATGCTTCGACAAAAATATTTGTTTTTCTTTTCTTCTATTATTGGTTTATGTTTAACTTATTGATATGTATAGAATCTTATGTGAATAATATCATTCGTACCTCTAAGCTTTGTTGTCTTATCTAAAGTCCAACTGCAAAAGATTATTAACTGCATTACAAAAATTCAAGTTTAATAATCAATCGGATTAACAAGAAAATTAGCAAGTGGGTGTGTTATGATTATGAAATTCCCTGTGCATCTGAGTAAAGTGGGGATCCCTCTTCTCAAGATAACACTTAATTCTATGTATCTTTTTGATTCTTTGATAATAAAATTGAATTTTCTTACTTCTTACTATATATATATAGTATAATAATGCATGGTTGTAAAAGAACATGGGTATGCAGAGAATGGTAGGACCATAACATGTAAAAAAGCCAACAACAATAATTTAACAGCATTCAAAGTAAGCTTTCTTTTTTACGAGTAACGCATTCTCTGTTTTGTGATTGTCTCTACTCTCTGCATATCAATTCTGTATCATCATCAATCAAAAGGGTCCCATTAATCTTACTACCTTACCAATTTTTCTTTCCATCGAGTAAATTATATCATATGGTCCACAAAAGTAATATTATTGTGATTTATATTTTTACAATGAATAATTTACTCAGATGTTAACCAAAAGTTCGAATATTACTAGAATATCATACATTTTCTAAAAATTACTCATATGTTTTGAACATTTGTGTAATTACAATTAACACCCTTCATTAGTTTTTTTTTTAATTAATAATTTTTAATTCATTTTTAATTAAAAATAATAAATAAAAATTTGATTATCCATGTCATTAATCCACATCACCAATCTCACACTCCTCAAACTCACGTTATTTCTCCTCTTTTCTTTTTTTTGTCTCCAAATCCAAGAAAAGCTTTTAGATCATTTCTCCTCTTCTCTTTTTTTTGTCTCCAAATCCAAGAAAAGCTTTTAGATCTAATAATCTGTAACTAACTTGGGTACAACATTGACAGAGATCTTCAAATTGCAGGATTGGGCTGGATCTTCCTAGACCTCACAGCCACAACGCTTGCCATAGGATCCCAAATCAAAAGCTTCGTCAGATCTACTCGCAACCACGCTCACGAAAAAAGTCATCAAAAATCAAAACCCAAAACAAAGAGATCTATGGAATTCTACATGATTCGTTACAAGTTTGAGTTGAAATCAAGAATAGCTACTCTTTTACTTTGATTTTACGTGTCTCTCGTTTAATCTTCCTCTCAATCGATCTATTTGGAGACATTTATACTTCTATCTATGTTTTGATTCATACGGTTTAGTCTTCCTCCTATGTATCCCTCAAATATATTTTTACGAATCTTAATTTGATTGTTGTTATTTGACCAATAAATTTCATATTGTCTTCTCCAAAAAAATGTTGCTTTCTGATCT